TAGATGGTTTACAGATTAATACTGCTAATAAGTAGTAAAATGGAAGATTCATTTAAAGAAATTGCTAGGAATGTAGTATAGAGGGTTAAAAAATACAGAGGAAGTTAAGAAATGTGTACCGCAGAGTTGAAAGATTTGGGTGTACATAGATCTAATCTGATGATACAGAGAATGAAAGTCAATATCCAGGGAAATATAGCTTATGATTTTCCAGGGTTGGTGGGAAAAAAAGGTGTTAATCCACAAGTTCAGCAAGTCTAACATGTCCCAGTCTAGATATATAAAAAGAACTTGGTGAGGTTGTATAAAACACCAGCGATAAATAAAAAGATCTTAGAACCTGACAAAGAACTAATGGAATACCTTTAAAGGAATATTGGGTAAGTATGCTGGAGGACAGCCAGAAGACAAGAAAGACAAAAGCCAACCAAACGGAGGCAATGGCAAACCCTCCTGGGGTTGAGATAGGCTGAGGCATGCTCAGTGCTAATACCATACTCAGGGCCCTGGGATCAATCCCTAGCACCACAAGAAAGGAAACAAAAGCAGAATGCTGAGATAAAGTGACTGTGCATTAAACTGTACTCTGAGATGTCTTTTTTTTTTTTTTGTCTTTTTGAAGCAGGGTCTCCCTGTAGCCCCAGCTGTCCTGGAACTCACTATGTAGACCAGGCTGGCCTTGAACTCACAGAGATCCACCTGCCTCTGCCTCCCAAGTGCTGGGACTACAGGTGTGCACCACCACGCCTGGCTTCTGAGATGTCTTTTAAGATCAGGAGCTAAATAAAGGCTTTTGATTTTTTAAAAAGGAAGCTAACTATAAATCAGAGAAGTGATTATTAATATGCCCTTACCAAAAGAACTTCTAAAAGAAGCAAAATTATTTCAGAAGGACTCAGACGAAGTAAGAAACTGAGCAAGGACATAGCTAGCACGGAGGTGTATCTGAACAGCTGCTGACTAAAAACAATAGTGACTAAAAACAGTAGTGGCATCCAAATTTGTAGGAGTGGAAGAAACCAAACCTAAAAGAAGTAGAGGTGTGTAGTTCCCCAGGTTTCAGAAACATAGCCCTAGGGAAATTAACACCCCCCAACCTCTGACTCAAAGAGGCAATTTTACTAGTTTAAAAGAAAAACCCAGGTCAGGTAAGCTGTGAATCTCAGCAGCAGCCCGGAGCAGAGAGAAAAGGAAAAGAAGCCATGCTATTTGAGTTAAGCTGGCATGGGGGTCAGCCACACGGTGGACAAGCAGCCACACGGCAAGGAGGGGAGCTTTAGAGAAGGAGTAAAGAAGCCCAAAGTACCAGAAAAAGCACACCCAGGCACTGGCCAGCATCTGAAAGACAAAAAAGAAGAGAAAAGCTCTCTACCATATTGCCACCATCATGGGTACAAGTCTCGTGCAACCCATCAAGCTAGCCAGGGTGACCAAAGTGCTGGGTAGGACCGGCTCGCAGGGACAGTGCACATAGGTAGGAGTAGAATTTTATGGCAACACCAGCTGTTCCATCATCAGCAATTTGAAAAGACCTGTGCGCGAGGGTGATGTGCTCACCCTATTGGAGTCAGAGAGGCTTGGAGGCTGTGCTAAACCTGACTGCTAGGTCCTGGATATCCACCATTTGGCTCATGAGATGACCTGCCACTGTTAAAGTGTTTATATTGTAGTGTGTTTAAATACAAAAAGAAGGAAAAAGAAATAGTTATGCTTTTCTGGGTTAGGACTTAGAAAGTTAAGCAGACCTAGCCAGACCTCATGGTGGCTCTTAGGGACTACCTATGTATATTTTTGGAGAATATTTTTAGTCTGGTGTGGTGAACACACCTTTAACCCCAGTACTCAGGAAGCAGAAGCTGGTAAATCTCTTGAGTTTGAAGTCACCTGGCTATTCATAGTTCTCCATAGTTCTAGGCCACCCAGAGCTTCATTGTGAGACTGTCTAAAAATAATAATAATAATAAAATTAAAAATTTAAAAAAATTTTTATTTTATGTGTGTGAGTGTTATGCTTGCATGTAGGTAAGTGCATCCGTGTTGTGCAATGCCCGTGGAGGACAGAAGAGGCCATCAGATCCCCTGGAACTGGAGGTACAGACGGTTGTTAGCTGCCATGTGGGTGCTGGGAATCGAACCCGGGTCTTCTGCAAGAACAGTCACTGTTCTTAACTGCTGAACCATCTCTCCAGCCCCATAAAATAAAAAATTAAAAAAGTATTTTAAATTTATTCTTTAAGAGTTTCATACATGAATGCAATGCCCCTTGATTATATCCATCCAATTCCCCTCTTTGACTCTCCCCAGGAATCTCCCCAATATGTCCCCCTTCCACCTTCACGCCTTTTTTTTAAATTACCCACTAAGTCCACTTAATGCTGTCCACATGCCACGTGGGTGTGGAGCCATTTACTGGAGCACAGGAAACCAACCAGAAGTTGTATCCCCAAGGAAAATTACTTCCTACCTCCAGCAGCCATCTACTGCTAATAGCTACCCAGCTGGAGGTAGGGCGTCATAAATCCCACCCCTGTTCATGCTGCAGTGTTGATTGGCTTGGTTTTGTACAGGTAACCACAGCTACTGTGAGTTCATGAGTGCAGTGGCCATTTCATGTTGAGAAGATAGCACTTCACAGCTCTCTTCCCCATCCTCTGGATTTTACACTTTCTCTACCTCCTCTTTGAAGGTGTCCCTGAGCCTTGGTGATAGAGGAGGTTACTATAGATGTCCCATTTAAGACTAAGCACTCAAAAGTGTCTTATTTTTAGCACTTGGACCAATTGAGTCTACATTAACCATTGCCCATTGCAAACAGAAGCTTTAATGAAGACTGAGAGCCCCACTAATTTACGGGTAGAAACAAATATTTAGAAGGCAGTTTGATAACATGTCAGTTTAGAAAACAGTAGTAGGTACCCCCCTTGGGCCTGTGACCTCCTTAGCTAGCTATTGGCTTTTGGCCAGATTTATAATATAAGGCATGAATTTCCTTTTGTGGAACAGGATTCAAATCCAAGCAGAAAGCAGCTGGTTACCTCCATAACAGTCATGCTTTTGCACCAGTGGGTACGTCATGCTTGGCAGGTCAGTATTACAGCATATGGAGTCTACCACCGGGGAAGGCTACTGATGACTTTTTTCCCCACAGCTGCCTATATAGTTCCCACTTTCTAGAACTATGAAAGCTAGCCATCAGGGAGGAAGTTTCCAGGTTATTTCCAGCAACCAAAGTGTATGGTGTCTTTAGCAGTAGGGTCTTACCATCTAATTATGATGGGCAGCTAAGAGTAGTGGCAGGAGCCTGGGCTGTTTTGGGGGCCTCCAGGGCCTCCCTTTCCGATAACTCATAGGGAAGTAACCCATGCCCAGTACTGAGGTTTTCATTTAATAACACTTGACTTCTGGGAGAAGCATTGTCCACCCATGCAGGATATTTCTGTTCAAACTTCTTTTTTTTTTTTAATTTAAATTTGTGTTAATTACCTTGCAATGTAGTTGGTTTTCATAAGGCTTTTCCATTGCAGCTTTTGGTTAACCCACCCTCACATCTTCCTCTGCTTCGTGTCTTGCCCCTCCCCCCCATCCCTGCTAAACCAGCCCCCAGTGTTCTCCCTTCTACTTTCACGTCAGATGTGTCGAGACCTGCCCTTTATTGAATAGCATTGTGCCTGGCACTTTTCTAAGTGCGTTTCTATGCATTGTCCTCACAGAAACTTGGTGTGGGTATGACTGCTATCCTTATCTTAGATCTGGAGTCTGCCAGATTATGTAACAAGATACTTCTGCTAAGTGGCAGAGCCCAAATTCAAACCTGCCTGAGCCCGAGGTCTGTTATTTCTCACCACATTATGCTGTTTAGGTTACTATTGATAGTAGACATAGTTTTAAATATGGAGTTTTTCTTAGTAAATGTGCTGCCAAAATGAGCACACAAATATGGAGCTGTTCTTCTGTGTCAAGAGTAAGAAGTTTGGGTTTTTTTATGTACATGAAGTTGCTGCCAAGTCTGTCTAGTTCTGGATCTGACTTTAGTTCTTCAGTATTTTTTTCATACAGACATGTTTTTCTTTTTTGTTTTGATATGTCTGTCCCTTAGTATCTATATTGCTAATGGTCTTTACCTTTATTTGAGGGCTGTGTGCAAGAAATTCGGGCTGCACGTGAGTCGAATGATGCTAGCCTTCTTGGTGCTCAGTACTGGCATGTTTTGCTCATCGTCTGGTAAGTAGAAGGGCAGGTGAGGGAGTAGCAGGTTTACCCATGGTACAGTTGCATTGTAAGGAAGACTTGTCCACATAGGTTATGTTTTCATAACCTGAATAATTGGCAGGACACTGTCATATACATTATCTTTATTGACCTGTGCAAAATTCATAAGTGGTAGAACTGATAGTATTATCGGGATAGTTTCTGTTCCATCCTTTATTAACCACTCACTTCCTTTGGTGGGGGGAGGGGAAGAAATGTCATTTTGTTCAATGGTTCTGTTTTCTGCTTATTATTTGAGATCCATTTGTTTGTTTGTTTAGTTTTTTGGTCTTTTTGTGACAGGGTCTCCCTGTAGCCCCATGTCGCCAGAGTTCTCTCAGGGTCTCTTACGAGATCAGACAAACCATATAACATCTTTTTATGTAACATTATGGTTTATGCCCTTGGGTAGGGAGGGGTTAAATGGGGGGACTTACATAGAAACACACACCCAGCACCCAGCTCTGCAGGGCTCGGCCTGCTAGTCCAGATCGCTTCCTCACCCTCCCACAGTCTCCATTAACTTTCACCCAGGCATCTTGGGCCTGCAGTCTTGCTCCAGGTCGGTAAATGCCCCCTCTCTCGCCCCAGGGCTCCCAGAAGCCCCTCCACAGTCAATTCTCTGCAGCAGGCCCTGCCCCTTGGAGGAAACAGGCAGCCTGTGACATACCCCAGCGGGCCTGGAACTCAATGTAGACCAGGCTGGACTCAATGTTACAGAGATTCACCTGCTTTGGCTTCCAGAATGCTAGAATTAAAGGTGTGTGCCATAACACCTGGCTGAGATCTATTCTTTTTTAATTTTTTTAATATTTTATTTATTTTTATGTGTATGTGTGTATTGCCTGCACGTGTGTAAGTGCATCCGTGTTGTGCAAAGTCAAGGAAGCCAGAAGAGGGCATTAGATCCCCTGGAACTGGAGTTACAGACAGTTGTTAGCTGCCATGTGGTTGCTGGGACTCAAACTGGGGTCCTCTGTAAGAGCAACCAGTGCTCTTAACTTGCGGAGCCCTCTCTCCAGCCCTGGAAACTGGAATTTTATGTTTCAGGTTAGGTACAGGCCAGGGGAGGAATGACATGGATAGCACTGTATAGCATTATATAACTTGGGGCCATGTGGTGGTGCTTGAAAAACAAGAGTGAGAAAATAGGAAAATCAGTACACTTCATATTTTGAAAGGAATTTCCCCTTCCTGCCCGTTTGTCTATTTCACTCCCTCTTTTCCTCCCTCCCTTCCTCTCTCCCTTCCTGTTTTTCCTTTTAGAGAGGGTCTCGTGTAACCCAAGCTGGCCTTACACTTGCTGTGTAGCTGAGGATGCCCTTACAATTCTGATCTTCCTGCTTCCACTGCTCAAGTGCTGAGAGTACAGGCATGTGCCACCATGCCCAGAGTCTTTCAGTATTGGAGACTGAACTCAGGGCTTTGTACGTTGTAGAAAGTACTCTACCAGCTGAGCTACATCTCCAACCTTACTGTCTGTTTCTAATATAATGCTGTCTAAAATATATTCATAGTTACTGACATTTTGCAGTGCAGGTGAGTTTTTTAGAATCCATATCTAATCTCAGACTCTTGTTCCCTCTTTTCATTTCTTTATTTCTGCAGCATTTCTTCCTAGCAGCTTCTGTATGTACACTACATTGATTGCCATGACTGGATGGTATATGGAGAAAACGCACATTGCTGTGCTGGGAGTAGCAGCCGGGGCTATCTTAGGGTGGCCATTCAGTGCAGCTCTTGGGTAAGAAACTAACATAGTTCCTCTCCCATATGCCTCTGGGCACATGGTACCTTAATGTTGGATTGGCTCAGTTGTCTAGGTAGCATCTAAAGTTACAGAATTCAGTTAGACTGAAAAAGATTCTGGGAAACAAAACATAATTTTCTTATTGTTTATTATTATGATTAATTCTTTTTTTTAATTTAATTTTTTTTTTTATTTTATGTGTGTGTGTTGCCTGCAAGTAGGTAAGTGCACCCATGTTATGCGATGCCTGCAGAGGTCAGAAGAAGCTGTCGGATCCTCTGGGACTGGAGTTACAGACAGTTGTTAGCTGCCATGTAGGTGGTAGGATTTGAACCCAGGTCTTCTGCAAGAATAACCAGTGTTCTTAACTGCTGAGCTATCTCTTCAGCCCCATGATTAATTCTAATGAGTATAATGACAGTTATGCGTCTGCTACATGTTAGGTAGGCCTTGCTAAACCCTTCTTAAACTTTATTTCTAAATCTTACAGCTGTGCAAGAGAATACACTCAGTAGTGTTTTAGAAATGAGGAAATAGACTCTTAAGACTTTGAGTAATTTTCCTTTAAGATTAAACTTGTGGGCTGGAAAGATGGCTCAGTGGTTAAGAGCACTGGCTGCTCTGGCAGAGGACCCAGGTTCAATTCCTAGTACCCACATGGCAGCTAAAAGATTAAACTTGCTTTTAAAAATGTTTTTATTAGCATATATTATACATAACAGTGGGTTTTGTTATGACATTTTCATGCATGTACATAATGCATTTTGAGTATATGAGTGAGCCCTTCCTCCCATTAGCCTTCTTATCTCCCTCCCCCTCCTCCTCATCCATCCTCACCCCAACTTATGCTTGCTTTGATTCCAGGCTTTTCTGACTCCTCAGCTGGTTTCTCACCCTGTGCTACTACTCTGTGCTGTGCATTTTCCTTGTCATCCAGGCATGAAATGTTTCCGTCAGTCTTTCTCCTTTCTTGCTGTAGCATCTTTTTTTCCAAGTTTGTCTCGCCCTCTTTTTTTACTCTTTGGTCCCATTTCTTGTTTGTGCTGCCTTAACTTCTTTACCATACTAGCTATTAAAAAAAATGTTAGGGGTTGGAGAGCTGGCTCAGTAGTTAAGGGTAAGTACTGCTCAGGGCTGGAGAGATGGCTCAGCTGTTCAAAGCACTGGCTGTGGCTGCTCTTGCAGAGGACCTGGGATAGAGTCTCAGTACCCACATGGTGGCTAACATCAGTCTGTAACGCCAGTTCCAGGGGATCTGATGCCCTTTTCTGACCTCCTTGGGCATTACATGACATGGGTACATTTACATACATGTAGGCAATACATTCATACACATAAAATAAAAATAATAAATGCCAGGCGTGGTGGCGCACACCTTTAATCCCAGCACTCAGGAGGCAGAGGCAGGCAGATCTCTGTGAGTTCAAGGCCAGCCTGGTCTACATAGTGAGTTCCAAGACAGCTGGGACTACAGGGAGACTATGTCTCAAAAAGACCAAAAAAAAAAAAGAATAAGTCTTCTTGCAGATGACTAGAGTTCGGGTCCCAACACATTCCACATCCATCAGCTCACAACTGCCTGTAACTCCAACTTCAGCGCATCCAACACCCTCTTCGGGACTCCATAGGCACCTGCAGTCATATGCACATATTCACACATACACACACATGCACACATAATTAAATAAAAAAAGAACTTTAATTTGATATTAAGGTAATTACTTAGTATAAGAAAGTACTATCAAAGGAGGGTATAACTCAGTGGTGGAGTCCTGCCTGGCATGTACATAGTGCTGGGTTCTGTCCTTAGCACAGCAACAAACAAACAGCAGATTTAATGGGATAAAAAGAATTCCTAGGGATTGGGGAGATGGCTTAGTCAGTCGAGTGCTTGCCTAGTAAGCATGAAGACCTGAATTCCATCCCCAGCACCCACTTAAAAGCCAGGTGTGAGGGTGTTTCTGCAACCCCAGTGCTGAGCAGCTGGAGACAGGTGGATTCTTAGAGCTCTTTGGCCAGCCAGTGTAGTTGAATTGGTGGATCCATGTTCATGAGTCAGTGGTTGACCCTGACTCAAAAACTAAAGTGGAGGAACTGGAGAGATACCTCAGCGGTTAAGAACACTTGCTGGTCTTCCAGAGGACCTGGGTTCAATTCCCAGTACCCACATGGCATCTAACAGCCATCCGTAAACCCGGTTCCAGGAGATCTGATACCCTCATCTGTCCTCTACAGGGCAGTGCATGCACGTGGTACACTTACATACATGCAGGCAAAACACTTATACACATAAAATAAAAATAATAAATATTTTCTAAAAAACTAAAGGGGAAAACAACTGAGGAGGACACATGATGTTGACCTCTGCCCTCTGCGTGCACATACACGTGAACATATGCACACACATATTCATAATACACACACACAAGAATTCCTGAATGAAATCAGCAGACATAAGCGGTCCATGCCATGCCTGTGCTTCTGTGTTCATAATGACCAAGCTGTAGAATTGCCTGGATGGCCATGAACAGCGTGAATGCAGCATGTTTTCTTTATTCACAAGCACACCCATATACACACAATAGGATAGGGAATAAGAAACTAGTATCATGTGTTTTTGTTTACTTTCTGGTAGAAACTGGAATTAATGAAAAAGATGACCTAAAAGCAGTAGAGATGCGGGTGTGGTGGCACACGCTTTTAATCCCAGCATTCTTGGGGGTAGAGGCAGGCCCATCTCTGTGAGTTCAAAACCTGCCTGGTCTACGTAGCTATTTTCAGGCTAGCCAGGGGCTACATAGTGAGACCTTGTCTCAGAAAAAAATGTAGAGGAATATTAGGGAAGGGTAAGGAGAGGTAGGGAGGATGGAGAAGGAGAAGGGTGAGAATAGTAAGGGAAGTAGCTGTGATCACAGTACTGTATATTCATAGACGGGTCACAGTGAGTCCCATTAATGTACACAATTATTGTGTATTAATAATTATAATAAGGCCTGGTAAAATGGCTTGGTGATTAAAGGTGCTGACCACCAAACTTTACAACCTGAATTCAGTCTCCAGGACCCACATGGTGGAAAGAGAACCAACTCCTAGAAGTTGTCCTCTGACCTCCACACATGCACTATGGCTTGTACAAATAAATCTAAAAAAAAAATTTTAATTTTAATTAAAATGTTATTAATTTTAATAAAAATAAAAATACTAAAAATAAAAAACATTCAATAATTTTTTCTCCCCTTGCTTAATCGTCAAAGTTAGTCATTGCCTATAATTTTGTACATATCTTTCTAGAAATTATCCTGTGTGTATTAATGCATACTCATATATTAATACATACACATATCTACATTCTTTTGTGGGGAGCTTCTTTTGGAGACAAGGTCTTACTCTGTAGTCCAGTCTGGTCTGGAACTTCCAGTGATCCCTGCCTCTGCCTTCTGAGTGCTAGGCTTATAGGTGTGAACCACCACACCTGGCTTATGTACCTACATTCTTAAAATAAATAGAATTGCCCTGTGTACTTGTTTTCTCGTCACTAGATTCATAGCATTTTCCATATCAGTTGCATAATGCTGTATTACAAGAGTAACTATAGTTTTTATTAAAAATATTTTATGTATTATTTTTATGTGTTTGAGTATATTGTTTGCATATATGTAAATGAACCTATGTTGCACAATGCCTGAGGAGATCAGAAGAGAGCATCAGATCCCCTGAAACTGGAGTTCCAGATGGGTGTTAGCCACCATTTGGGTGCTGGGAATTGAACCTGGGTCCTCTGCAAGAGCAGTTGGTGCTCTTAACCGCTGAGCCATCTCTCCAGCTATTTAGATATATTTGTGGAACTTTATTAGGTCAATTTGTAGAAAGAGAATAACTATGAAAATAAATGTTTTTTTTTGGGGGGGGGGGTCTTTTTGAGACTGGGTCTCCCTGTAGACCAGCCTGGCCTCGAACTCACAGACATCCTCTGCCTACTGATTAATCCCATCCTCTGCTGGGATTAAAGGCGCCACCATGCCTGGCTTCCATTTTCTTAATATTCTTTAAAAGTCCTTTTTCCAGGGCTGGAGAGGTGGCTCAGCAGTTAAGAGCACTGATTGCTCTTGCAGAGGACCCGGGTTCAATACCCAGCACCCACATGGTAGCTACGAACCATCCTTAACTCCAGTTCCAGGGGACTCTGAAGCCCTTTTTTGACCTCTGGGGCATTGCACGACACAGGTGCACTCACATACATGCAGGTAGTACACTCATACACATTAAAAAAAAAAAGTCCCTTTTCCCACCTCCACATCTTTTTTTCTATTTCTCTATATCATTTTCAAACTCCTGCATCCCTCACGATTTCATCATAAGCTGTTTTCTAAAGTATATACTTTGTGCTATTTCAGTCACTTTGAAGATTCTCATACCAATAAATGTAAAATACCTTTTTAACCCAAAAATGCATGGTTGTCTGCAGATTATATGTCTATTCCAGCCTTTCTTGAATTTCCCTCATATTACCAGGTGCCTATTAGATATCTCCCGAATCATTTCCTTGCATATCTTCTTTTTGTTTCATTTTTGGTATATATGTGTGTGTTTTTGTATTTTGTATGTGTGTTCTTATGTGTGCTCACACGCATGTGTGTGTGTTTGAATAGGCCAAAAGTTGATGTTGAATGTTTCCCTAAATCCCCCTCTGCATTATTTTCTTGGGGTAGGATCTCTTACTGAACCTGAAGCTACCAGTTCTGCTAGGTAGCTGGTCAGTGAGCCCCTGGCATCCTCCATCTCTGCCTCCCTAGCACTGGGATTGTAGCTGTGTGCCACTGTGCCTGGCCTTTTTATGTGGGTGCTGGGGATTGAACTCAGGTCCTCCTGCTTTCATGGCAAATGCTTTATGACTAAGCCATTTCCCCAACTCCACAGAGCTTTTTCTTTTTCTCTACTTAAGTTTCAGTCCCCTAAACACTGTCACTGTCTCCTCTGTACTGAACTAAGAACCTGAACATTATGCAGCTCTTTTCTTCCCTGCATCTCATTACGTTATGTCTCTCCTGAATATCTTTTTAACTTACTTTTTTTTCACATATCTCTACTCCTCAATTGTGAGATAGCCTTGTAAATGACTCCCACATCTTCCTGTCTGTTTTCTACACTGAAACTATAGTTATTGTCTTAAAGTAAAAATTTGATTATAGCATTTTCCTGATTTTTTTTTTTTTTGAGACATGGTTTCATATAGCCCAGGCTGGCCTTCAACTTGCTATGTAGCTGACGATGACTTCGGTCTTCTGAGCCTCACCCCCAAGTGCTGGCATTACACGCATATAGCCGCATTTTGTGTAAACTGTATAATGGCACCTCATTTCTCTGTCATAGAAGGTAAACTGTGTCCTTTGGGGCAAATCTAGCTGGGCTGCTTTTGTACAATCCTACAACTAAGAATTTCTTACATTTTTAAAGGGTTATTGAAAAACACACTCATACAGAAGAATATTCAACACAGACTAGATGTGGTCTGTAAAGCCTAAAATAAATGCCACTATGCCCTTTAAGTGCAAGTTTCCCGAGTTCACTCACAGACTCTGCACGATTCCCTGTTTTGGCCTCTCCTGCCTCCTTTTGTTGGTTTCTCCATTCTTTTTATTCTCTGTTCCAAGTATATTGAATTTTCTTGAGCTCCTCACATATTTCTGGGTGGTACATCTTGATGATCTGTTTTTAGCCATGACAGTTGATTTCAGGATCACAATTAATCAGCAGTGTACCATGACTTGTTGAATGCTTGGTTCTAACCTGTTGATAGTGACTAAATTAGACATCCTTGCTTGCTGCTCAGTTGCATTTAATGCGAAAGATAGGCATTAAGCAAATAATATAAAGTATGAAAAGTTATCAAAGGAGAAATCTGGGTGCTATGGAATTGTAACTAGTTGAGAAAAAAAAATAGAAAGGAATAACAGAATTTACATAATAGAATATGGAAACTCATATCATAAAGGAGATGTCCCATGACAACATGTGACTCTGTCAAATAAGTGGTAGAGATGCTAATGGCATCCAAATTCAGGAGAGAAATTGATATTGGAAGGTCTTATGAAAGTGGGAAGAATAGAGCCCTGTAATTGACATTTGGGTAGATTCTGCATAAGTAGGTTGGTGTAAGGAGAGAATTCCTTGCACCAGAAAGAGAATTAGGGCCACAGGAGACCAATGAAGGAAACTCTTCCACCTGTTTCAGGACCAGCAAGTCAAAGGTGATGGGCAAACTATTTAACAGAGAAACACAGTGTTCGTTAGGTGAAATACTGACGATGTGGGTTGGGTTCATACACACCTTTGCTACACTGAAAATCTCTCTCCCAGCGGCAGAAAGGCAAGAACACTAGCCGTGAGAAGACACTTTCTCAAAAATAAAGATGGGTGGAGTCCCTGGCTACTTTTTTAGAGTTGGAAGTTGTGAATATGAAGGTGATTCTCACATAACCTACTAAATGAGTTGACGGCTCATGGTGAAGGAGCAAGGAAAAGAGAAGCAGTGCATTGCAGGACCAGTGGAGAGTGTAGAAAAGAGAGGAGCTTTAAGATAGAGGGATAGATGTTTTGTGTCTTGTGCAGCAGAAAGTCTCTGAGAAGTCTGAACTATTGAAGAGAAACTGGGTCCCACGGAACAGAGGTTCCTGGGGGCCTTAAATCCGTATTATTAGCCTTAAAGAAATAGTAAAGTGAGGGCGGCACATGTGTGCCACTTTCTTGAGGAATGGAAGTAGAAGGTATCACAATTGAAGCCAGAGTTTGTAATACTGTGCCAGTAAAATCCTAGTAAGGGTGAGGTGGCTCAGCAGGTAAACCCGAGTTTGATCCCTGGAACCCACTTACATTGGAAAGACAGATCTGACTTCACAAAATTGTCCTCTCATCTCCACATGCACGCTATGCATAAGTTCCTGTGGACATACACAAAGTAAAAAAAAAACAAACTTCTTTTTGGTTCTTTGAGACAGGGTCTCTGTAGCCCCAGCTGGCCTGGAAGTCACTATATATATAGACCAGGCTGGCCTCGATCTCACAAAGATCCATTGGCCTGTCTCTGCCTTTGCTTCCTGGGTGATGAGATCAAAGGCCTGAGCCACCACACCCCAGAAAAGTGAAGTTTAAAAAAAATATATTTATCTTTTTTTAATTTTATGTGTATGAGTGTATTGCCTGCATGTGTGTAAGTGCACCCATGTTGTGCAATGCCCACGGAGGTCAGGAGAAGGTGTTGGATCCCCTGGAACTGGAGTTAGGACAATTGTTAGCCACCATGTGGGTCCTGGGAATCAAACCCAGGTCCTCTGAAAGAGCAGTCAGCACTGAGCCATCTCTGCAGCCCCCCAAAGTGAAATTGTTTTAAAGATTTAAAAATAGAATAAAATTCTCATTCTCAGAAGGGAGATCTCAGTATTTATTTGGCAAGTAGGTCTAGGATCATAGTGTTCCTGTATTTATAATGAATATATTTTAAATGTACATTACTTATAGATCAGTGTCAAATGGAGTTTGTTCCAGCAGCTCAGTGTTTATATTTCTTGTGCATCTGTGGCAAGCATAGCTCTCTGATGGGTGCTATGAAGAGATCAGCTTATTTATTTTTTTTATGTTTATACATGTATTGCCTGCATGTAGGTGAGTGCACCTCTGTCATGCAGTGCCCGAGGAGGACAGAAGAGGCTGTCGGATCCCCTGGAACTGGAGTTACAGACAGTTGTTAGCTGCCATGTGGGTGCTGGGATTTGAACCTGAGTCTTCTGTAAGAACAGTCAGTATTATTAACCACTGAGCCATCTCTCCAGCCCCAGAGATCAGCTTATTTTTGACAAAGCATCTTCTCACTACTAGTGTTCTTGCCTTTCTGCCGCCGGGAGAGAGATTTTATTTTCAGTGTAGCATAGGTGTGTATGAACCTAACCCACATCGTCAGTATTTTCACCTAACACTGTGTTCTCTGTTAAATAGTTTGCCCATCGCCTTTGACTTGCTGGTCATGAAGCAGAGGTGGAAGAGTTTCTTTCACTGGTCTCTTGTGGCCCTAATTCTGTTTCTGGTGAGTTTTCTGTTCTCTTGTGTTGTAACAAAAGGATCTTCTGATGTGGGAAAGGAAACATTTGGAGATCATTTTGTTTTACATTCCAAGTTTACCTGTTGTCACTTTGAAAATTCCAAATTGCTTGCTGCTCTATTTTAGGGGCCTGTGGTGCTTATCGACAGCTACTATTACGGGAAGTTGGTGATTGCACCTCTCAACATTGTTTTGTATAATGTCTTCACTTCACACGGACCTGATCTTTACGGTAAGGTTTCACAAAATTTGAGAAAGAATTAGAAAATAGCTTAATTTACCTGAGCTTCACAGTTTTAATTCAATTGTCTCATTTTGCCAGATATAGCCCTCTCCTTCCCTTTTTTCTTTCCTTCCTTCTCCCTCTATCCTTTCCTTCCCCCTGTCTCTCCTTCCCTCCAGGTTTCATGTAGTCCAGGTTGGCCTTCTGCTTCTGCCTGCTAAGTGCCGGGATTATAGCACCTGCTCATATGTAACATTTTTGTGCTCATGTTCTTTTTCTCTTAAACTGAAGAGTTGACTATAGTGCAGTGTAACATGCAGCCATTTGAGTATTTCTCCCTGATGAATGTGGTGTTCAGATGCCGACTCTGCTTATGCTGCTGCAGGGCATTCAGTTTCAGAGTTAGCACGCTTTGAGGTGTGCTGCTGGGGATGGGATGCCTTTTCTTTTCTTTTCCTTTATTTCTTTTTTTTGAGACAGTCTCAATTTATAACCCAAGCTAGCCTCAGACTTAGTGCATTTCTCCTGCGTCACCTTTTCGGTTGGTAGGATTACAGGAATGAACTATCATGCCTGGCTTATACTTGCATTATGGCTTTAATGTGGTGAAAGAAGCCTGTAATCCTAGCATGTGGGAGGTAAAGGAAGGAGGAGCAGGCGGTCAGGGCTTCCTGAGCTACCTAGTGAGTTTGAGGCCAGCCTGGGCTACATGAGACCCTGTCTTTGAAAAAACAACTTACTTTCTCCTACTACTGGAAAAATGAATATAATAACAAAAAGAAAATAAAAACATAGTCCCATCATCTCCATATGTAGCTATTAATAACTTTTGAGAGTATATTCCTGCATATATTTTCTGTACATATACATGCTTGATGTTGCTTTTTCTTTTTTGAGTTTGCATTACTTCAGGATAAGGTATTAAGGAAGAAAGTTGGGAAAATTTATAGACAAAATACAGCCAGTGAGAATAGAGCCAGCAAGAGATTGTGCATAGTTTGGTCAGTTTTCAACGAAGAGAACTAAATGAGTGCCTGTAGTCTGAGATGCATTTTCCAGGGTACCTCTCCTCCTGCCTTTCCCTCCACAGTGGCTGGGGGAGTTTTATTTAAGTTGGTTATAGAAGGATGGGTTAGAGAGGTCTTTCTGATCAGAGCAGCCAAGTCAATAAATATTTTTATGAGAGTGTTTTCCTTAAAATTAGTTTAGCTTCTTCCTCTTTAATCTTTCAGACTCTTCAAATATATAAAATTCTATATATTTGAATGTCCTGACTTTGTTATGAATCAGGTTGATATTCTCTCTCTCTAGCTCAGATAAGTTTTTCCTGTTGCTAGCCATGTCCATTATTCGCCTGGGCCATATGGCCAGTTGAAGGAGCCTCTAGACGTCTCCCTTCAGCTAGGAAAAGTTTTTGTGTTTTAAGTTGCTCCTTGTTTTGGTTTATTTATAAAATTCTGTGGACCCTAGGAGACAATAAAACCAATACAGTGCAGACTTCATGGTAAAAAGGGGTTCACATGTACCCGTTTGGAAACATAGCCATTCTTTATAGGTGAATAGGTTGAGTTAATTTGTGTTCATTTTGAAATATTGACTTCTCTGATTTCATAAATAGGTTATTATATGTGCAGTATTCTGACTGCTCATAAAACTTTTGAGAAAATATGAAAGTGTGATGTGTTTTTATGGGTAGCCTTCTAGATGGATGAGACTGATAATCTAGAAATAATCAGGCTGGTACTGAAGAAAGACTTGATGTTTCTAGTTTAATAGTGGGTTGCTCAGTGACCTGTAGGTTTTGGGACATGGAAAAGCTATGTCCACTCTTTCCTTGGGTGATAGCTGCTGTTCACTTCAGATAATGCTTTGCTGAGGAGTTCTTAGGGCTTCCTGTTTACTTTGATGAACTTAGGTTAGTTTTATTCAGTTCAGATTTTCCTATTTTGGGTGCAGAGTACTGATCACTTTCTTGATAGTGGCAGCAGCCTTTCTTGGGACAGTGGGAATTGTCACACAGGCTACTTGAGAAGACTTGGTATAATACTACAGTAGCCAGCCATAAGGATTCCTTATGAATTCTGAATAAAATGCATTCTAATCTGATCAGAATTTAAACTTGATAAATGTGTTTTGGGGGGGGGGGTTGATTTCCATTCTCTTAGGGAAAGCTACTGTTTGCTTCAGCATGCCTTCAGAGAGCACACTCCCATCTTAGCTATGAGTAGGAATTCCTTATATATTGTATGTTTAGAGTAAAAGCTTGTCAGGAATGAATGGATGAATGGTTTCTGGAGTGGCTGGCTTGGGTGGCAGTGGCATGCACACTGGGAGGCTGCTTCACATGGGGCTATCATGCCAAGTCCTTGTTGAGAAAGAAGAGTGGTGTGGACCCAAACTGCACAGTCATAGGCAAAAGATCACCCTAGTGTCAGAGATCAACAGGTAAAACTTAACATCACAGCAAAAAACAATTATGCTTGGCACTGAGTTTGCTTCTGGTAAGATTTCAAGGTCTTAGATGTGGATGTGTGTATTTGGTTGTGAATAGTGGTGCTGTCTCATGAGGAGCCTGTGGGTGAGGTGAGTCTGCTCAAGGCCCTCACTTTGCAACGTGGGTTAGGATCCCATAGCCTGTTAGTGTATCATCAGCATCTTCCAAATCACTGGATGGGAAGTTTCAGAAGGTGATGAAGTCGAATACCTTTGTAGAAGGCCTGCCATTTTCTGTTCTTACAGTGACAGAGGGTGAAGCTCCAGAGAGGTCTGATGCAGCCTCTTTAGAGTTGACTGCCAAGCAGAAGCATTCTGGAGCCTTTGCTCTTTTGTTAATCGTATCTATGGAACCTTTGTTGCTGATTCTTCTTGGTGCAGATTTGACATTTATAAGGAAGATGTAGTATTTAGATCCGGCAGTTCTATAAAATTATAGGCCTGGTGTTTTAAAAAATTTTTTTATTTATTATTTTTATTTTATGTGTATGCATGTATTGCCTGCATGTAGGTAAGTGCACCTGTGTCGTGGAGTGCTCACGGAGGACAAAAAAAACTGTCTGATCCCCTAGAACTGGAGTTACAGACAGTTGTTAGCTGCCGTGTGGGTGCTGGTATTCGAATCCAGGTCTTCTGCAAGAACAGTGTTCTTAACCGCTGAGCCATCTCTCCAGCCCTTATAGGCCTGTTTTTAAAAGGTTCTCCTTCATTCAATCTATAGATCAGTAAGCATAATTCCTCCTTCTTCTAGCCTCTTTGAAAGCTCCCCTAGTTTATTTGAATGAAAGAATTGAGGCACTTTGCATAAAGAGGGAGACTGCAGAGACCCTGCCACCAGCCTGCTTCCACCTTGTATCTCACACCAGCTTGCTTTGCAGCTCGTCACCCCAAATCGTGTTTTTCCTGCATTACTCAGCCTCAAGCTCAACCTTCTGAGCATCAGTATGTACTGCCTTAGAAATAAAAATTCATACTCTTTTGTTGTTGTTGTTAAGGCAGGTGTCTCATTATATAAGGGAGGATGCTAGCTATCAGAATACATTTGTTTTCGTTCCTTTTTTTCTGTGTTTTTTAAGACTTTGATCACTTGAACTTTCTTCAGTCTTGGCATGTTCCCCAGTGTTTGCTTCAGGGAAATAACAGTCTATTAGGAAATCTTCACACACTAGATGAGAACTTGATTTATGAGCCCTTAACACAGAAATAACCCAGTTTACCAAGATCACATAGGAGGCATAGCACATTGTGGTAGAGACAAATACTTGCTGGAAACTGGAGAGCTTCTCTGAGAAAGCGTGTCAGGAGACTTTTTTCTACAGATGTTTAGCATCTGTCTTGGGTGACAGGAAAGAGATTCCCATTCCATTTTTCTTTCACAGGCTCAGATTTCCAAACTTTTATTAAGGAAAACAATGAGTCAAGGGTTGATAGCACTGTCTCCACACTGTCCGCCAGAGTGGGTTGTGAGAAGGCTTACCTCTCAGGAAGCTGAGTCCTAAAGGATTTCATTAGAAACTATGCTATTAAATGGTAATTAAAATCCAGAGAAAGTACATGTTTCTGTCTTGAAAATATAACCATCCATTAATTTTATTTAACCTAAAACTTGAAAGAATGCAAGATTAAAAATGCCCCTAATGGATTTGGCTTGAGACAGGGCCTCTGTTCTTTAACAGTCTCCTTGTATTTGGACAGGAAGGAGTGAACTTTTCCCAAAGGTGACACAGTTGAATTTGTTCCCTTGGTTAGTGAGCCTCTCACTCCTCTAAATGTTTCTGGCAGTGTGAGGTTAGTTTCTAATCTTACTTTCCTGTGCAAGCTGCAGAAGTGTCGGGTTTTCCGACTCTCCTCTGCCTCCTGATCACCCTTTTCAGCAAGGCTGATTACAGGAAATTGCTGTGGTGCAAGGCAGATGTCCCAGTACATGCTGATTAAAACCCAAGTGTGTCAGTCACTGCCTGATTGAAGTAATCACACGGAGGGAAAAGCAGTGATGAGATGAGAAACCAGAGAAATGTGCAGAGTGGGGCTATTTCTCATCATTCAGATGCAGGAAATTTGAACTAAAGAACAAAAACTCATGTGAGGGAGGCTTGCCTCTCCAGTCATCCTGTTTCATTCTGAATCTTCAGAGCTTTAAGCAGGACCTGAGTCTCTGAACATGGTCCAAAAGAACCAGGCTGGGGAACTGGAGAGTTGGCCCAGCATGTTAAAGAGCACATGCTGCTCTTACAGAGGACCTGAGTTCAGTTCCCAACACCCACATCAGGTGGCTTAAAACCACCTGTAACTCCAGCTCCAGGGGAATCAGATGCCCTCTTCTGGCCCCTGTGGGCACCTGCATGCACATGCCATATACACACATACAGTTAAGTAAAAATAAAAATAATGCCCTCCAACCAAGTTGTTGTTTTTATTAAATGATTTTTTTTTTTTTTTTTTTTTTTTTGGCTCTAGTGAGGATTGAGCCTAGGGCTTTGTGCCTACTAGGCAAGCACTCTACCACTGAGCTATATCCTCAGCCCTAACCCTGAACTGCTTTTTGTGAAACACATGGTGCCCTACTTAGGTGACTATAAAACAGCAGATGAACATTTCAAGGGGGAAGATGCTCTAAGTAAACAGGATAAACAGGCGAGAGCACAGTGGGGGAGGCTGTGTAGCTCAGAGCAAGTTTTTTTTCTTTCCCCTAATTTTTTGGTCTTCAGAATGTTGTTGAAACTACAGTTAAATTCAAATGGCTTTCTTAAAAAAATTATTTTAGCTGTGCCCTGGTTTGCTTTCTGTTGTTGTGATAAAACACTGACCAAAAGCAACTTTGGGGGATGGGAGAGTTTATTTGGCTTACAATTCTATTTTTTTTAAATGTGTATGAGTATATTGCCTGTATGTGTTTAAGTGCCCCCTTGTCCTGCAATGGCCTCAGAAGTCAGAAGAGGGTGTCAGATCCCCTGGAACTGGAGTTGCAGATATGGTTTTTAGCCACCAGGTGGGTGCTGGGAATTGAACCTGGGTCCTCTGCAAGAGCAGACAGTGCTCTTAACCACAGAGCCATCTTTCTAGCCCCTTGGCTTACAATTCTTGATGATGGTCTATCATCGAGGGAAGTCAGGCCAGGAACCATGGAGGAATGCTGCTTACTGGATTGTTCCCTCTGCTTGCTTTTTTTTTTTTTTTTTTCGGTCTTTTTGAGACAGGGTCTCCCTGTTGCCCCAGTTGGGCCTAGAACTTGCTATGTAGATGAGGATGGCCTCGAACTCAGAGATCCCTCTGCCTGGGGTTAAAGGCGTGTGCCATCATGCCTGACATTAGCCTGCCTTATCCAGACCAGGCCCACCTGCTCAGGCATGGCACTGCCCACAGTAGGCTAGACCCTCCCACATCAACCAGCAATTAAGAAAAGGCCCCATAGAGATGCCCACAGCCAGTCTGATGAAGAAAGTTCCTCAGTTAATGCTCTTTCTTCCCAGGTAACTCTAGTTTGGGTCAAGCTCTGTGTGGCTCTGTGCTCTTAGGCTATTCATATTATTTGAGAACATGTCTGTTGCATTTGGGCATGGCATTTGGCACTAGATAACAGCAAATTTCTGTTTGAATTTATTTTATCACACCAAATTATTTGATGCGGGGTAAATTATGAGGAACAGAAATGTGTTTCCCATTCTGGAGGCTGGTTGGTCAAGATCAAAGCTCTTGCAGGTTCAATGTCTAGTGAGGACTGAGTCCGTTTCTAAGGTGGCATTGTGCTAGTGTACCCTTATATGGTAGAGGAATGGAAAATAAACCAAATTTCCAATTGGTAGGCATAAAATGAAATACTTAAAACTTGATTTCCAGCCACAGCATCTTAACTGAATCTTCCCGCCTTCCTCTTTGTGCTTCCTGTATGTGGTTCCGCATTGAGGAGAGAGTAGGCTTGTGGATTTCCATTCAGTTGAGCATTAGATTATTAGTGTTACCTGAGCAAAGAATAGTGAGTCATGTATTGTGATAGGTGTTGAGGGCATCCACTGATGATTTCTCATCTCTGTCTCCCTCAGGTACAGAACCATGGTCTTTCTATTTAGTTAACGGATTTCTGAATTTCAACATAGTCTTTGCTTTGGCTGTTCTGGTCTTGCCGCTGACATCTCTTATGGAGTACCTGCTGCAGAGATTCCATGGTGAGTGCCATAAGAGATGATAGGGTTTTGGATAGGGGGACAGAAAAAGTAACAAGTTATACCAGTAAGTGAAGAAATTCCACTTTAGTCTCCACTTTCTTTCTATGGACATGGCTGACTCATTGAATTTTCAGTGGATTTTGTAGATTATTTGAACCTATGTCAATATTTGGTTAGTTGTTTCAAATTAAATTAGAAGCTTTATATCCTTTTAAGTGAGGAACCAGTATGATTTACCCACTCACCAGTGAAGCAAAAACATAAAAAGCGGGAGAAAACAGCCTCTTTGAATCATTTGTCTTGTAAAGAAGTGATAGATTGCTTACACCAGTTCGTGCTACAGGCATACATTCTTTGGGAAATTATTTCAACCAAAGATTTGAAAACGCAGCCTTGGCAGGGATTCTGTGGTTGAAACTGAGTGGCGGCTTCAGCCTCCTAAGAAGTGGGACGCTGTTCCTGCTTCCCTTTTGCTTCTGCTGGCCGGACTGGGAAGGTTTGTGAGTCACCCTGCTCACCCTTTTGTGTGGCATAGCTGGTGTTTCCTCAAGTTGTCTTGGAGCTAGCTATCTGGTGCCTACAGTTTCTTTTCTGGAAAACAGATTTGAACAGAAATTCCGAAGAGATTTGGAAAGATTTAATTTGAGACTCCAGTTTGATTTGGATGTAGGTGATTGATTCTTCTCTGCCTACTCAACTTTTCTTCTGTTATAGTTTGTAAAACATTTACTGTGTTAGATACTAAAAAGTGAAAGAATCTTAAGAGTAATTTAGAAAGATTAAAAATTGTGTATATGTGTGTATTTTATGTGTTCATGTGTGTATGGAGGTGTTTTTCTCTGACACACACCACTTTACTGACTCAGGGTCCCATGTAGTCTCACTAGCCAGCTTGCCCTGGTGAGTCACCTGTCTCTGCTCCTGAGCACTGGGACTAGAGGCAGCTGTCATGCACACCCAGCCTTTATATGGTCCTCCAGCTTGCAAAGCATGCACTTTATCCACTAAGCCATTTCCCCAACTCTTTTCATTTTAGTATAACCATAATGCCATCATTCTAACAAAATTGGCATAATTCCTTAATACCATCTAATCTGTAGTTGATATTCCCAGATTGTCTTAAAAATAGCATTCTGTAGGCAGTTTGTCTAAAGCAGGGCATCATCTTTCTGAATTTGCTGAGTGCTATGATTACTGACATACACCATTATTTCAGCCCTCTCCTAAAATTTCCTAACCCAGATCATCATCTTATATGTTCTGCTTTCTCCTTCCCTACCCCCTCCCTTCCCTCTCCCGACCAGGAAGCTTATGTCAGTTGTACCTGGGGCTTCTGGGGGAAGGAAAGATTGAAGCCAAAAGGCTATGGGAGCCACTGCAGGTCTTATTCCTCTGCAAAGTAACCATTTACTTCTGCCATCTGGTGCTTTGACTGTTTATCAAGCAGGACCGGCCTTCTTTCCTCCCTCCCTCCTTCCCTCCCTTCCTTTCTGTTCTTTTTTTTTCTTGAGACAAGATCTCATGTAGCCCCACTGGCCATTGGAATTACCATGTAGCTGAGGCACATGTAGCTGGGTGAGCCACTGTACCCAATTGTGTTTATATTTCTTAAGGATCACTTTTTCCTCTGTGCGTGTGTGTGTGGGGGGGGGTGTAGGGGTGTGTGTCATGTAGACATATGTGCTCCTTTCTGTTCTTTTTTTTTCTTGAGACAAGATCTCATGTAGCCCCACTGGCCATTGGAATTACCATGTAGCTGAGGCACATGTAGCTGGGTGAGCCACTGTACCCAATTGTGTTTATATTTCTTAAGGATCACTTTTTCCTCTGTGCGTGTGTGTGTGGGGGGGGGTGTAGGGGTGTGTGTCATGTAGACATATGTGCAGCCAGCAAATCCCCCACCCCCCAGTGCTGGGGTTACAGGTGTATATGACCACACCTGGATTTTTATGTGGGTTCTGAGGATTTGAACTCAGGTCCCATGCTTACACAGCAAGGCCTTTAACCTATTGAACTCTTTCCCTAGCCCTGCACATTTTCGAAAAGTAATTTTCCTTCTGACTACTACAATATACTGTGGTGTAAATAAGAAAGGATAGTAAGCTGTTCTCTGTTCTATGAATCTAATTTTGATTTCAAATGTACAAGGTACAACCTAGTAAGAAAATGAGTGCTCTATGACATTGTGCTTTTATGTGTATATTATGATAGAAGCAATACTTTTAAGAAGATTTATTTATTTTATTTTATGTGTGTGTTCCTGAGTGTACATATGTGCACACATACATGCAGGTACCCACTGAAGCCAGAAGAGGGTGTCAGATCTCCTGGAACTGGAGTTACAAGGGGGTTGTGAGTTACCTGATGTGGGTGCTGGGAACAGAACCCAGGTCCTCTGCAAGAACAGCAAGAGCTCTAGGGGCTGGAGAGATGGCTCAATGGTTAAGAGCACTGATTGCTCTTGCAGAGGACCCGGGTTCAATTCCCAGCACCCACATGGTAGCTATGAACCGTCCTTAACTCCAGTTCCAGGGGAATCCAAAGCCCTCTTCTGACTTCCGCGGCACTGCACGACACGGGTACACTCACTTACATGCAGGTAATACACTCATATACATTAAATAAAAATTTTTTAAAAAGAAGAGCAGCAAGAGCTCTTAACCACTGAGCTGTCTCCTCAGCCCCAGGAGCAATACTTTTTAAAAGGAAAAAAAAACCAAACTCGAAACTAAACCAACCAACCAACCAAATAAAATCTAAAACAACAGAAGAAATTACCCATGCCTTAATATATACAACTGTGGTCTCTATCATATGTAACTATGGTTAGTGATTTTGTATAGAATAGACATTTTCTTACAGATAAGAAAATCCCAGTTTAAAATATGCTAACTTGAAAGGTACAAGTCCTAAAGTATTATCAAAGATTTTATATCCATTTGGGGGGCAGGGGAAATGGCTCAGTAGATAAGAGCACTTGCTGTGCAAACATGGGAACCTGAGTTTGAATCCTTAACACCCATGTGAAAAGCAGACATGGCTATGTGGGCCTGTGACCCAGCATTGGGCATAAGGAGACAGGCGGATCTCGAGAGCTTGCTGGCAGACCAGCTAGTCCAGCCGAAGTGGTGAACTTCAGGTTCAGTGAAAAGCTGTCTCCAGACAACAAGGTAGAGAGCAACAAAAGAAGATACCTGAGCCAGGTGTGGTGGCACACGCCTGTAGTCCCAGCACTTGGGAGGCAGAGGCAGGTGGATCTCTGTGAGTTCAAGGCCAGCCTGGTCTACATAGTGAGTTCCAGGACAGCTGGGGCTACAGGGAGACCCTGTCTCAGAAAGACCAAAAAGAAACAAAAAAACAAAAGAAGATACCTGATGTTCTGCTCTGACCTCCTCATGTTGGGTGCATGTACCTGCATACTCGGGTACATGAGACACACACACACACTACTAAAAGAAATGTGGATTGGAAGGTTTATAAACTTGTTAAGTTCAAGAAAGTTTTTTCTAAAGTGTGTGTATGTTTATGTGTCTACATATGTACTGCATGTAGACATACATGTGGCGATCCAAGGATATTTTTCCGGAGGCAGTTCTCTCCTACCATGGGATCTGGGGATTGAACCCAGGTCAGCAGGTTTACACAGCAAGCTTTTTTTACCCACTGAGTTATTTAATTGGCCTGAGTTCAAGAGTCCTTTCCCTCCAAAGCTTTCTCTAGACATACAACCTAGCTAGCTAATTAGACTTTGCTGGCCAATCTTAACAGTTCTGGTCTATAATGCACACTTTATTGTTGTGGGCATAACGAACACCAGGGGGTGCTGTCTGTCCACTCTGCCAGTATTTTGTATGCACTGCTCATGATTACCAGTGCTGACACAGTAAGTTACCTGTACTGTGGGCTGCAGTTTGATCACTCATTGCACATGCTCCTGACACCTAGTAAGTGTTTGAATCTTAGTATTCATTATTTTCCTTTAATTTTTTCACGTGTTTTAAGTACATTTTAGTTCCAATTTTGAGATTCATAGTAGATGAATATTATAGAAGAGGAAAGAAAACTTAATCAGTAAACCCCCTTTAAGAGTGTTTTTATGGGGCTGGAAAGGTGGCTCAGTGGTTAAGAACACTGGCTGCTCTTGCAGAGGACCCAGTTAGCTGCTCTTGCAGCTAACAACTGTCCCTAACTCCAGTTTCAGGGAAATCTGACGCCCTCTTCTGACCTCTGTGGGCATTTCATGGCACAGGTATGCTTACAAACAATGCAGGCAAACAATCATAAACATAAAATAATATTTTTAAAAAACTTTATTTTTTGTGGTCTTTTTGAGACAGGGTCTCCCTGTAGTCCCATTTGTCCTGGAACTCACTATGTAAACCAGACTGGCCTTGAACTCACAGAGATCTGCCTGCCTCTGCCTCCCAAGAGCTGGGATTAAAGGTGTGCACCACCATGCCCGGCTAAAAAATATTTTTAAAGAGAGTGTTTTTATGTTTGCTTTGAAACACTGTCCGTCCACATGGTAATGCACTCCTGTAATCTTAGTACTCTTGAAACTGAGGCAGGAGGATCATGCATTCAAAGCCAGCCTGGCACCATAGATAGGCACTTTCTTAAAAGCAAAATAAAACTCATGAAAAACTGGTTTGGAGCCTGATGAAAAGGGTTTGAGAATCCAACTGTTTTTCTTCCTTTTACCCATGCCTGTTTTAACAGACCAACTGGTATGTAAATAAGATGATTAATATTACACAGAACAGAGGAATTAAAACCTGACAGATTGGTTAATGTCAAGAATCTTCAGTTTTAGTGGCAGGACTTGTTGCAGAGAAAAGGCTTTTTGTCTTCACCCCACATAAAATTTATTAAGTTCTATTATCTGTTCACCTGATTTTCCGTCTGTTTGAGCTAAATCTAGCATTGTACCTCCCTCAGAGCCAATCTGTAGCTCAGGACTATGTATGTTCCTTTCTGTTTTGTGGCTTCATTACCTTAGAAAGGGTGTGAATTCCTGAGCTGAAACATTTTATGGGCTATCCTCAGGCATCCTCCCAAACTGAAAAATGAAAAGAGCATTAAAACGAAGGGTGTCGTTTTGTTCTGCATGGTGAAAGGTGGGTGTTTTTCTGTGTCTTGCAGTTCAGAATTTAGGCCACCCATACTGGCTTACCCTGGCTCCAATGTATATTTGGTTTATAATTTTCTTCGTCCAGCCTCACAAAGAGGAGCGATTTCTTTTCCCGATTTACCCACTCATATGTCTCTGTGGTGCTGTTGCCCTTTCTGCTCTTCAGGTGAGTCTCAGGGGAAGTATGCCTGCCCTGTTCTGCTTCACTTACTAAACAACAGCTCATAAAACTTAAGGGCAAATTAAGAGTGAACCTGCCTAAGGTTTTACCCACAACATGAAACCTTGTGCAGATCATAGTATTACAGCTGTATGTATTAATAAGGATGTGACTACACTGTATTCACTGATTGTATGTTTGCAGTATTAATCTGTGTGATAATTTATCTCTTGTCAACAAGAATCCAATGACTAATAAAAATGCATTTTTAAGCCATCATGTGGGCCACCACAGCATGGTGACACCAGGGCAGACTAAATGGAATGTTTGTTCTTCCACAATTAGATCAGAGTAAGACTTACTCAAGACTTTGGGATTACATCAGACAATTAGTAATATGGGATAGTTTGTAATCCTGGTTTAAAACTGGCCCAGGTCAATTCTCTGGCAGTCAATCATACTTTTGTTTGGAATATCTCTATGTTTATGGCCTCAACAGTGTGGGACTCTCTCCTCTCTCTGCTACCATTTGCAGTTGGCAGGGAGAAAAAAATTAAGATAAAGGCTGGAGAGATGGCTCAGTGGTTAAAAACACTGACTGCTCTTGGAGAGGACTGGGGTTCAGTTCCCAGCACTCACATGGCAGCTAACAACCGTCCGTAACTCCAGTTCCAGGAGATCTGATGCCCGCCTCTTCTGACCTCCATAGGAACTGTGTAACATGGGTGCACTTACATACATGCAGGCAACACACTCATACACACAAAATAATAAAATAAAAATAATAAAAATAAAAAACTTAGATGGTAGATTCTTGTTCTTAACAGATTTAATGAGCTATATCTCATAAGCCTGTTCATGAGTTCACCTGTTTAGTGTTTAATTTAGTGGCATACTTGCAGAGGCATGCAGTCATCAGTTTAGAGGATTTTATTTTTAGTTTTTATTTTTGAATACTTTATTATTTTTATTTTATGTGTATGAGTGTGTTGCCTGCATGTAGGTAGGTGCACCTGTGTCGTGCAGTGCCAGTGGAGGTCAGAAGAGGGCATCAGATCCCCTGGAACTAGAGTTACAAATGGTTGTTAGCTGTGATGGGGGTGCTGGGAATCGAACCTGGGTCCTCTGCAAGAGCAGTCAGTGCTCTTAACTGCTGAACCATCTCTCCAGTCCCCAGTTTAGAGGATTTTTATCCCCTCAAAGCCCTGTGTCCTTTTCCTATCACTTTCCCTTTCCTTTCCTCACATATCTTCTCAGTATACGATCACCAAACAACTTTGTATATAAATTGGCCTATTCTTTGTATTTCATGAGTGGAATCATAAAATATGTAGTCTTTTGTGAAGAGCCTCTTAGCATAATGTTTTTGAGATTTATCAATGTTAGGGTGATAGTTTAAAAAATAAGTTTAATTATAAAAGTATAACTTCATGTCAGGTAATTTACAAAGTACTAAAAAAACTTTACCTTCTATCAAGACCCCTAGCACTTGTGCATATCACATATCAAAGTTTATTATGATTGTGATAATAACTGCATATAACTTGATACCCTTTTGAACTTTTGTCATAATATTGTTAGTGCTGCCATATCTACACCTAGTATTTCAGTAGCAGTGCAGTGTTTGAGATTTCTTTGTTTGCATGTGTGTGGGCGGGGATAGTCATTCACTTGCCTTGGCACACACAACTTGCAGAGTTGATTCTCTCCTTCCATCATGAGGGCCCTGGGATCAAACTTACATTGTTAGACTTGGTGGCAAGCACCTTTACCCACTGAGCCATCTCACCATCCTCTATTTTGTATATAATAAATAGTAATTAGAAGTAATATGAATTGAACTAATTATGCATCATATAATTATTAGATATAAATTGTGTTAGAGAGGCTAGAGAGCTGGCTTAGTTGTTAAGAGCACGTACTGTTCTTACAGAGGACCTGGGTTTGGTTCCCAGTACCCACATGGCAGCTTACAATGACCTGTAATTCCAGTTCCAGGGGATCTGATACTTACGCACACATGTGGTACATATACATACTTTCAAGCAAAACACTCACACATAAAATAAAAGTAAATCTATAAATCATGTTAGGATTTAAATTATTCATCTTTGTGGTATTATACTGCTAAACATTTTATTTGAAGACTAAAAGTCCTATTTTCATTTAGGTGTTTGGATTGTTTGCTTAAGACAACCCCCCACCCCTCGTTTTGTTTTTGTTTTTATTTATTTTTATTTTTTATTTTTTGGTCTTCTTGAGACAAGGTCCCCCTGTAGCCCCAGCTGACCTGGAACTCACTATATAGACCAGGCTGGCCTCGAACTCACAGAGATCTGCCTGCCTCTGCCTCCCAAGTGCTGGGATTAAAGGCATGCACCACCACATCCAGCTGTTTTTGTTTTTAATTGAGGCAGTAAGGATCAATCCTGGGGCCTTGTACATGCTAAGCAAGTGCTTTATTATTGAGCCATAACCTTAGCCCTTCCCCAAAATATTAAAAGGGTTCAAACATATTTATGACACTTGTTATATATTGTAAAATTGATTTCTAAAAGTATATCTGGGAAGGAAGAGAGAGAGGGAGGGAGGGAGGGAAAAGTCTGAGGAGGTACTTAAAGACAACAGGGTGTAGCTCAGTGGTACAGTATATATTTAATATGTGTTAGACTCTGGCTTCCTGTTCCCAACATTATAATCATGTGGTTTATGAAGTAGTTTAGCAGATAATTATCATTATGTCCCTAGTGTTATAGGCAAGGAATTCCATTTTTCTTCTTATTTGATCATAAGATATTTAGCTGAAGCTTAAACTTTTCTCATGAGACTTGGGTTACTGAACTTGAGGTGGTGATACATGCCTTTCATCCCAGCACCGTGAAAGCTTAGGTGGGAAATCCCAAGCTCTAGGCCAGTCTCTACTATATAACATGACCCTCTCTGTCTCACCCCAAACTCCCTACTCTGCTAATAAAAGAAAAAGGTTTTTGCTAAGGTTTAAGTAAAGATTAATACTCATATCAAACATATTGTTGAAGTGCTTCATAATAAAAAAATGGTTAAATAGCATTTTTGTTAAAATATTTACAAATATGTTGTTAGAGCCAGGTGTGGTGGCTTAGGTCTGTAGTCTGACACTTGGAGGGCAGAAGCAGGAAGATGGAAAATCATGGGCTACAGAGTGAGACCTGTCTTGAAAAGCCAAAAAACAAATAAAAAAAACCCCACAAAAAAACTATTAGGACTTTATACACTAGCAAAAACATACCAATAATTTTCCTTTGAAGCTGGAGTTCATTCTTGGCAGGCTGTCTGACTGGGCTGCCCTCCAGACAGTGCGGGAGGAACTAGCTTTGATCTTAGAATTTGGAGTGGGCAGCTCACCAAGTGTTTGTACCTGCTTAGACCCTTCCTCACAGCCTGCTCTGCCTCTGCACTCCAGTGTTTTTGTGATGTCTCAAGGCTGTGCACATCTTCTATTAATACAGTTGTCCTTCCTTCTAGAAATGTTACCACTTTGTGTTTCAGCGATATCGTCTGGAGCATTATACAGTGACGTCAAACTGGCTGGCGCTAGGAACAGTCTTCCTGTTTGGGCTCTTATCGTTCTCTCGCTCTGTGGCGCTGTTCAGAGGTAGATGTGCTGAGAGTATCTTCTACCACACTCACGAGGCACCTTGTCTTAGGTTCACTTGTGGCACATATTTGATTTAGGATAAGAAGAGGCCTTTCCAGAAGGGAGGAGTTGTGATAACAATGGGATGTGTCTTCCATACCGAAGACTGAGGTTTCCTTTTTATATGATTACACATTTTCCCTCCAGTATCATTGATTTCCCCCTCCATTTTAATGTCTGCTGCTGATGTAACAAAGCCTAACTTATGCATATTTTCATGATTATATATTTTCTAGTAATCATTATTGGGGTCATAATAAAATGTGCCCAAAGAACAGGAGGTTTGAAAAGTAAACATACAGAAAAGGACAAGAAGGCAAGTTCTATTTGGCAAAATGAGGCCTCCACCTCAGAAGTCTTTCCACCTGGACGGACGTTCCTGCTGGTGGAGCAGGCTTCCTCCTAGAGCCCCTGTGGCCCTTCATACTCTAAATTTCATGTAGATTACAGCGAGGTGTTAGCATGCTTAATAACTGAAAGTCAGAATCTGTCTTACTCATCCTTGACTTTTGTTAACTCTTCTCCCTTTTAGGGTATCATGGGCCCCTTGATTTGTATCCAGAATTTTATCGAATTGCCACAGACCCCACCATCCACACTGTCCCAGAAGGCAGGCCTGTGAATGTTTGTGTGGGGAAAGAATGGTATCGATTTCCCAGCAGCTTCTTTCTTCCTGATAAGTAAGTTGTCCTTTAATAAAGATTTTGTGTATGTGTGTGCACATGTGTGTGCACAAGAAGGCCAGGGGAGGGTATAGAATGTCCTCTTCTGCCTAGTCCTTTGAGTCAGGGTTTCTCCCTGAATCCAAAACTTGCATTTTTTTCCAGGTAGGCTGGAAGTCAGCAAGCCCCTGTGAGATCCTCTTGTCTCTGCCATGCTCAGCTTACAGGCACGCACAGGACACCTGGCTTTTTAATGTGGGTGCTGGTATCTGAACTCTGGTCCTTATGCTTATACACCAAGCACTTTTAACTGCTGAACCATCTCTGCTGCTTAGCATTTTAAACTAAAGCGTGAAAGTAGCAGTTTTGTAGCAAGGTCATGTTAGGTTGGTTGGTTTGTTTTTGCTTTGGAGTTTTTTGTTTTGTTTTGTTTTCTTTGGGCTGTGTGTATGTATATGTTTGTGTGTGTTGGGGGTGGGGTACACGTGCCTGTGTGGGAGGCCAGAGGTCAACCTTAGGTGGTATTTCCCAGGTGTGTCCACCCTGTTTTTAGAGACAGGGTCTCTCATTGGCCTAGGACTCACCAGGCTGGCTGGCAGTCTCCAGTGGGCCCTGGAGATCTTCCTATTTCTGCCACCCCAGGATTGGTATTACAAGCACACACCACTACACCTGACTTTTTTACATGGGTTCTGGAGATCAAAATAAGGTCTTCACACTTGCAGAGCAAGCGCTTTTACCAGCAGAACTATTTTCTCGGCCCTCTTTGTAGGTTTTAGCAGAAAGTTATTGAATAATTTTTCATTTTAAATTGCTGCAAATCTGCACTACATTCCTGTCTCCTTTATTTTTAAACTGGGGTTGGGGGGCATTACCTGGCTATGTGCTTATACTTCTCATAGTCATGGGTGTCTGTGAACTTCTGAAAATGTTTGACAGTAGGCTCTGCTAGTGACTCTTCTTTGTGTTTGTGATGTATGTGTGGGTGCATGTGTGAGGAGGGCAGACGTTGATGTCAGGTGTCTTCTTCTGTAGCTTTCCACCATGTTTTGAGGCAGGGTCTCTCACTGTACTTGGAGCTCACACCGCTAGCAGCCCCATGGGATCTTCTGTGTATCCCTTCCCTCCTGTGCTGGGCTTATAGATGTGCACCGCCACACCTAGCTTCTCCATGGGCATTGGAAAGCCAGTCTCAGGTCCTCATGCTTGCACAGCAAGCACTTTACACCCAGGGCCCTTCTTGATGCTTATTTACAAGTCTGTGGTTGATACTAACCTACTTCTGAAAGTTGCATAGAAACCCTTGCTAGAAGACTGCTTTTAGAAAATAATCTTTTTCTGTCAAGCAGTAGTTCTACCCTGATCCATACACAGCAGGGAAACCTTTGCTTAAGATACCTTTACCAGCTTCCTTTATGCTCTCTGGTAGATGTGATAGCATATATCCTGGAGTAGTTATGTTTTCTTATTTGTTCCTATGTAGGTGAAATGGAAGTCAGATTAGAGAGTAATGTTGCTCATTTGAGGACTGGCTTCAGCAGCTTCTCACCTGGTGGGGTAATACCTTTTGCATAATACAAATTCCGTATCAGTCATGAAAGATTAAATGGAAACTTTTTTTTTTTTTAAATAAAAGAAAGTTTACGGTTCTAGGGGAATAACAGTCCGTCCTGGCAGGGAGCATGGTGGCCGGAGGTGGCTGGAGAAGGAGTGGAAGCTAAACTCTCACATGTTTAAGCAGGCACAAGAAGTGAGAGATCTGGCAAGGCTTAAGAACTCTCTAAGCCTCCTCCCTGTGACGTGCTTCCTCAGGATAGCCACACCTTCTAAGACTTTCCACAACAGCACCACCAACTGAGAACAAAATGTCCAAATACTTGGAGCCTATGGGGGACATTTTCATTCAGACCACCACATTTCACCCCTGGCCCCCATAGGCTCATGAGCATAGAAAATGCAAAATGCATTTAGTCCAACTTTTAAAGTCCCCATAGTCACTACCAGTCTCAATACTTTTCAAAAATCCACAGTCCAAAGTCTCTTCTGAGACTTAAGGCAATTTCTTAACTCTAAGCCCCTGTGAAATCAAAATCAGAATCACATACTCCCAACATATAGTGGAACCGAATACACATTGCCATTCCAAAAGAGAGGAATAGAGGCAGAGTGAGGAAATACCAGACCAAAACAAGGCTGAAAACCAGCAGGGCAAACCTCAAATCCAGTAGCTCCATGTCCGACTTCTGATACTTTACTTCCAAAAGTCTTAGATGGCTCAGCCTCTCCAGCTTTGCTGCATGCAACATACATCTCTCTCTTGGGCTGGTACTACTCCCTGTATGCTATGCAGGTCTTTTTGGCAGATGTCTCACAGCTCTGGCATCATGAATGTCTTCTTGGGATCTCCATTACCAAGGAGGCTTCACCTTCACAGCTTCACGCAGTGGCGTATCAGGGCGTTCTTTATGCAGATGAACCCCTGCTGCATGCTTCCTGACCTTGGTGGCACTCTTGCATTTTTTGTGCCTCTAAAGCCAGAACCAGGTGAATGACACTGCCAGGTTTGGCTGCAAGTTTGGGATGGATTCCAGCCTGCTTTATCTGTTTTAGAAGCTCTTCTCTTCAGTGGCCTCTACAGCATTTTCCTTTCACAAGTTGGAGACTTAGCTGGGTGTGGTCTCCTTAATCACTTCAGTCTTCTTATCAAAGGGATCTTCTCTAGTACATGCCTCAGCTCCAACATTTATCTTCCTAGTTCTCTTTTTCAATCCAAACTGTACATTCTGTATTTCTTTCTGCCCCATTTGTTCTTTTTCATTGTAGATCTGCATAATATTCACCATTAAAAGCCATGCCACCATTTCTACATTATGCTGTCTTGAAATTTCTTCCACCAGAGTAGTTAGTCCATGGCTTTTCAACTTAGCCTCAGGCAAGCTTTTTGGCAGTGGGCAGACTCCAGCCAGACTCTTTCCCAAAAGAACTCAGTTGCTGCTTAAGTCCTTAATTCCCTCTGGAACTACATTGTTCACAGGACTATTTTTTCAGGTGCCTACTAGAATGGCCTATTAAGTTCTGCTTACAGCAGTCAACTACTTTTCTAGCACAAACTTCCAAAGTCTTCTACATTCTTCTAGAACCCCACATGGTCAGGTTCTTCACAGCCAACAGCCCACTCTCTGGTACCAATTACTGTATTAGTTACTTTTCTGTTGCTATGATAGAAACACTGACTAAAACAACTTATAAAAGAGTTTGTGTTTACAGTTCCAGGGGAGTTACAGTACATCATAGCGGGGAGGCGTTGTGGCCAGAGGTGGCTGGAGCAGGAGCAGAAGCTAAGCTCTCACATCTTCAAGCAGGCACAGGAAGCAATACTGGAAACTTGTTTTTTAAAAAATATTTTATTTGGGGTTGGGGAGTTAGTTCAGTGGTGGAGCACTTGCCTAGCAAGCACAAGGCCCTGGGTTTGGTCCTCAGCTCCGAAAAAAAAGAAAAAAAAATTATCATTTTTATTTTATATGTATGAGTGTATTGCCTGCCTGTGTGTAAGTGCACCTTACATAGTGTTGTGCAGTGCCTGCAGAGGTCAGAAGAGGGTGTCAGATTCCCTGGAACTGGAGTTAGGGATGGTTGTTAGCTGTCATGTCGGTGTTGAGAACAGTGCTCTTAATTGCTGAGCCATATCTTTTCAGCTCCGGAAATTTGCTCTTGAAATGTTGATGTTGGCCTGCCTTTGCTTTTATATTTGAGATAGGTTCATAGCTGAAGTGCTTCTGAGGCTATGCAAGACCAAAGCAGTGTTTTCTGAGTTCGTTCTTCATGGCGCATGTCCCATCTCATCTTTTTAAATGCACCAGATGAATCTGCTTTAATTTTGATTAGTCCCTTTGATCATGTGGTAATTAGTAACACGGGTTGACACTTCGCCTTGTTTTGTTGACTGTCAAGTTACAAATTTTGAAGCTGAGAGTAGAGTTAAAGGAGCTGAGAGACCTTTAGTTGTAAATTTCTCAGTGATTTCATGCTGAATTGTGACCTCTGCTTCTGCTCCCGGGTGGAGGTTTCAACAGAAATAGGTTTTTTTTTTCTTCACGTGAAATGTTTTTCACATGATTCGGGGTGAAGGGTGGTTAAGTACATTTAGCAATCTGATCCCCTGTGGTTTTGCTTCTCATTTGTGTTTCTGCAGTTGGCAGCTTCAGTTCGTTCCATCAGAGTTCAGAGGTCAGCTCCCAAAGCCTTTTACAGAGGGACCCCTGGCCACCAGGACTGTTCCTGCTGACATGAATGACCAGAACCGAGAGGAGCCATCCAGATATGTAAGGGCTGTTCTCTTGTTGCCTCTTTGAAAAGGGTTCTCTCCAAGCATCTCTTGGCATGTTATATTAGAGCATTGAAAAAATGAGTTTCTCAGTCATTTCTTTAGAGTGAGGAATATGATAATGCCTGTGTCAAAAAAGTAAGCAGTATCACTTTTATTTCCATATTACCCCATTTTAATTTGCTATGTAAAACATAGAATTCAATACAACTCAAACTCTTAGGTGGGCTGGAAATTTTCTCATGAAAGAATCGGTTCTGTCATTTTAAAGTGCATTGAAACTCATATTATTTCTTGACCTAATAAAATGCTTGGTGGGGAGCTTTCAAGTTATCAGATTACCCTTGACCTAGTTGTTACTATACTCTGGTTCTAGCACAGAGACAGTCAGAAAGGCTGTTTTCCGCAGTGAGTTCTGTGGAGCAATTTCTGTCAATGCCATGATCTTCTGCCTATTTGCCTTGACATGCTGAAGTCATGTGAATTTTATTTCTGCTCTTTTGAAAGATGACATTTTTGGCATTTGATAGCTGTGAAATCTCCAATGGTTAAAAAGGTGAGAGGAGTCTGTGAGATGGCCCCTTGGGTAAAGGCACCTGACTTCCTCATGCCTGCCTGGTATTCCTGTTATCTCCCCCCGCCCCCCCCCCCCCCCCCCGCACAAAATGAATAAAAATGTAATTTAAGATATTTTTTGAAGATGAGAGCAGTGGGGGCTGGAGAGATGACTCAGTGGTTAAGAGCACTGTTTGCTCTTGCAGAGAACCTAGATTCAATTCCTAACACCCATATGGCGGCTAACAACTGTCTGTAACTCCAGTTCCAGGGGATCCGATGCCCTCTTCTGACCTCTGTGACCATTGTATGACATGGGTACACTTACACACATGCAGTCAATACATTCATACATATAAAATAAAAATAGTAAAAAGATGGGAGCAAGAAAGAAAATGTTTTTCCTATTTTATAGAGACAGTAAAAGATTGTTTTATACAATTAGAAAATACTTTTTCTTTGGTAAACTGTTGTTAAGCAGGTCATAGTTTAAATGTAAATAATACTTAAGGTTCTCCTATATGATACACTAAAAAGATAGAGTAGTGAGACTTCTAGTTCTCTACTGAAGGAAACCTGTAGCCCCACCTGGCCTTGTGCCTCCCAGATTGGGGCTAGACCATGGAGACCCTCAGGTCTTAGGGCTGAGGGTCTTTCTATGTGAGCTTTATCTAAAGGCCTCACTCCTGAGAAGGTAAGGCACACCATTTTTTCTAGACTTATTGTTTTGTGTTTTAGGTGTAGAGTCTCATTGGTAGTTCTGGGCTCAAACTCACCAAGTAGACCAGGCTGGCCTTGAACTATTTGGCCCAGGATGGCCTTAAACACTCTATAATGCTGCTTCAGCATCCTGAGTGCTAGGGACATAGGTGTTCACCATGGTGCCTGGCTTTCTGCCAGTCTTAACTGGAGACTCTTGATTTATGTTATGGTGAAAATACCTGTTGGCAGGTGAAACTATTACTGGTAATTTTTATTTTAACTAAAGTCACTCTCCTAAGAGCAAGCTTTGATATACAGTGGGTATCATGGGGACACACTGTCAGAGGGGAAGGGGAACAATTTGAATTCAAAGTGATGTTAACAGAACTCCTATCCTGATGTCTTCATGCTTTAGGAAGAAGTAACATGATGAAGTTAAGAAAAATATAGTGTGGACTTTAGAGTCAGTTAGACCTGGGTTCAAATCTCAGCTTTGTTGTTTAATGACCTTGGGAAAATTAATTTTTCTGTGTAATTAATTTTAGTTTCTCTGTGAAATGGGAGTAATGATAACTACTTTGGAATTATGAGATTTAGTATTACATCTGTATCATATTTAGACAGTCTTGTGTAGCACAGATTGGGTAGGAACTGGCCGAAGCCAAACATGACCTTAATTCTGACCCTCTGCTTCCACCTCTGGAGTGCTGGGATTGCAGGCCTGTGGGCCAACATCCTGGTTATATGGTGCTGGGAATTGAACCAAGGGTCTGCTGCATGCTAGGCCAGCACTCTACCAACAGAGCTGTATCCCCAAGCAATCTCTCTCATGTTTAGCATAGTATCTGGAATTTAGGTTTTTCCCACAAGTGCTTTTAATCTGATAAAGGACGCTTTACCTCTTGTAATCTGTCCAAATTTTTCTTTTTCCTTACTATTATTATTCTTAACCTGGTGTTTATTCGTTTGTTCAAATTCGTTTGTCTTTTCCTTACTAATGTCTTTGGTTTGTATTGGCGACTGTGCCTAGAGTACCTGTCTTCTATCTCATGTTGTCAGAATTTTCTTCTAGCATGAAACGAACATTTACTTTTGTATTTAGCAGGATTTCCTTTAAGTCCCTTAAGTACTTACCAGTACAGGTCACCTGGCTGATCTTTTTCTCTTACATTATCTGAGTATTTCTGGTAGGTATTATCCCTTTCCCCATCAGGTGTGTGAATGCTCTGAAGGGGATGACTATACCTACCATACCTTGTTCCTTTTGTATTCACCATGGTATCTAGGTCAGGGCATACTTGGTAGTTAGTCTGCTAGTGTTGCTCTAGTGATTACAATCAGCGTCTCTCTGCCAGTCTCTTACCTGCAAGAACCAGTGGATTCCTGAAACTGTAGATATGCTATGTGTTCCTATACACAATAAAGTTTAATTAAAAATTAGACACATTAAGAGATTAACAATAATAATATAAAAGAAAACAGTTATCATGCATTGTAAGTTATGTGAATGTTTTAAAATGTGTTATTGTACTATCAATTTTAGTAACTTCAGCAATTTCTTTCCTCAGTAAGTTGAGAATTCGCACCTTTTTATTTAAAGGGAATACTTTATGGCTTCCCTTTGCCATATCCAAATTGTCAGCATCATTTATTTTGTTCTTCGCAGCCTTTACTGAGTAAAGTTAATAAAAGTTCTTGAACATAAGCACTGTTGTGCTATAATGGCTCTGATAACCAAGATGGCTCCTGCAAGATTAATGGGCAGGTAGTATATACAGTGTGGATGCATTGGACAGAAAGATGATGCGGGTGCTTAGCTGGACGGTTCATCATGGCAGATTTTACCATGGTACTTAGAAAGTGTGCAACTTAACACCTATGAATGATTCACTTCTAGAATATTCCATTTAATATTTTCAGATCATGGCTAATGAAGGTTATTGGAACCCTGAGAAATGGAATCTTGGGTGGCTAGGAGTGGTGAGGGACTAAGTAAGGTTCGTGCTTTCTCGATAGACAATGAGCCTATTGAGAGAAAGCTGGCTATGAAATTTGTGGCGATCGTTCTGCTTAGATTCATGTTTCTATATTTCCTGCTGCCAGGCATTGCTGAATTTGGTTACATGATTCTACGTTAGCTTTACCCCAAAGCGGGGAGATTGTCAGTACCAGCAGGAGTCACAGAATGCTGGCTGTTAAAAGCAAGGACAAGCAAACTGACATATGTGCTGGGTGTTGGGTGGGTCCTGTGCTTACCTGCATTCCTGTAGTTGAGCAGAGTTCTGTGTTGTGGTTTCAGTGGATATTCTTGTGTGGTAGGGAAAGCACCTTCCAAAGCCAGTTGATTCACTTTGGCCCTTTGGAAATTAGTAGGGACATTTGCTAGCTTACTATTAATTCCATATGAACTATGACCAGGGATTCATCTCTTTCAGTTCGATGTTTAAAAAGACTTTTGTTTTTCTCTGACAATGAAGCTATGGACAAGAAAAAAGCATCTCCTTGCCAAGTACCATCACTGTTACTAATTTAGTGATTTTTTGCACGTTTTAATAATTTTATTATTTATTACTATTGTGGGAGGGTGAGTGTGTACTATGGAGTATGTGTGGAGGTCAGAGGACAGCTTTATGGGATTGGTTCTCTTCTACCTTCATGTGAGTTCTGGGGATTGAACTCACATTGTCAGATTTACACGGCAATGCCTTTGCCTGCTGAGCTGTGCTGCTGGTCCTTTCACTCTTCTGTAATACACACACTTAGATAGAAACACAATCTCATGTATTTTTAAATTTTTCATTGTGCTGGAATTATGACTGTAATGGCCAGGTGTCTCTGCCTGACTGGAAGGGGAAGCCCATGCATTCCTTCACTCACACTGGCACCTTTGGTATCAGCTCTGGTTGCGAGTCCAGGTTCATAGAAGAAGACCACATCATCCTCTGTCTTTTCTGAGCATGCTAACTACTAGTGTTATGTTCATTTACATTAATTTTTTTACTATTTATTTATTTATTTATTTATTCATTTTGTGTGTGTATGTGTATGTGCCCATGTGGAGGTCTGAGACAATTTATGGGAGTCCATTCTCTTTCCAAGGATCCTGGGGATCAAACTCAGGTTGTCAGGTACAGTGATAAGAGCCACCCCCCTAGCCCTTGTTTACAGTTTTAAGAAGGGTCTTGCTATGTAGCCTAGCCCAGCTTAGCCTACAGCTCAGTGTTAGGATCATAGGTATGTGCTATAACACCCAGCAGTGTGTCTTTCTGCTCAGTGGCTCTCAGTGACAGGTTTTAGTCTACTTACATTCCAGGATAAGTAGTTCAGTCTGTCATCCATTTCTGTCCTATGTGGAAACTAGGAAAGATGTATGATCCTTGTTTGTTCACTGTCCCCCTCTATCTTTGAGTTAATCAAGAATTAGGAGTGTTTAAAAAGCCTCTTTTCAGCCGGGTGTGGTGGCACACACCTTTAATCCCAGCACTCGGGAGGCAGAGGCAGGTGGATCTCTGTGAGTTCAAGGCCAGCCTGGTCTACATAGTGAGTTCCAGGAACGCTAGGGCAACAGAGAGACCCTGTCTCAAAAAAAAGACCAAAAAAAAAAAAAAAAACCCGGCCTCTTGTTTCTAGTGCACTGTTACCAACTATATTGCAGAAATACTAATTTATTACTTCATATTTCAACCATTACTAAACTGTGGCATTAAAATTGGCTCATGCCAAAATATTTGTAAGAAACTA